ATGACAATGTTGTAAAACATTGCCAATAGAGAACAGAATCGGAAAGCAATAATACGAGAATCAAAACTCCTGAAGAATGGAGAAGAAGACGAAATTAATTTAATGATTTAAATCAGAGGGCAAAACTTTTGGCAAATAGCAATAAACATTTGCTATAAACTTGGAACTTGGAAAGTTATGAATATTAGGATGTATTAACTTTTCAAACTATGGCTGTGAGACACAAATATGATATGGTCATGAAAGAACAAATATTCTTTGAATGTGTTAAACAAAGTATTTCTAGTATAATTTGGGAATTATTAATGCTACTGCAAGGTGGCATGTCACAGAGGTGACTGCACGATTCTAGCCACCAATGTTCCAGAAGACTGAATATGACCTTCAATAGAGAAAGGCTCCTAAAATCATGAAAGGGAAAACAAGAGGAGACTACGACTCTGAAAGGGAGCAATAAAATTTTACTAAAAAATAGGTTGTGGAAATAAATGAAGATACATCATAGGGCTAGGAGGAAATAGAGATAATGAAATGCTAGAGAAGGAGGGAGCTATATAACTAAAAGAACGAAGCTGACAGGCTAGAATATACCAATTTATCTTTAAGGTGACTCATAACCTATAAAGCAAGTGTGACTTGAATCAATCATTACTTCGGTGAAGTGGAAGGTGGGCAGAAAAATGAAACTGCAGTGGAACTAACACAGGTTGACTTAGACCATGTGTTCAGGGGGCTGTGGGTAAGTTAAGGTATCAGGGTGAAATACTTGCAAATGCAGACACGTGGATCTAGCAACCCATGGTTTCTTCTCCAGATCTCTGCTCCAAAACTGACTGCATGGATATTTGCTTGTATTCTCCTATTTCCATTTAGTTGCACAACAAGCAGACCCCATCAAGGTGTTATGTAGCTGTGCTCATTCATTTTTATTTGTTCAGTGAAATGAACACGCATGGAGAGCTTTAATCAAGTCCTCTCCAGGTACAATGACTCTCTCCACTTGCCTTCTCAAATTCAATAATGTTTGTAGTGTTCTTCTTTTTAAGCCAGATAGATCCTTCTGAGCCTGGAGGGCATTTACATACTACCTTTCCTTTAGAAACTTCTAAGTTTTGAGTGTATAAACGTCCTCAATGTCCTTTAAAAAAAAAAACAAATGTTGAGCTGATCCTGACCCTTTATTGTAGGGAGTTAACAGTTATTCAGATTTTGGCAGTCTGTCTGAAAGAATGAAATATTGGGATGACAACTGTGATTTATCTTTGAGCAATTGCAAACTACACAGCAGCTATTTGTTTTGATTTTTATTTATTCTTTCTCTTTTTTTACTAAATATGTGTGGCAGAAAGAACCGAGTACATTCAGTTACAGCACACTTTAAAAAATAATCAATTAAAAGATAAATTACCTAATAATTCAGATCTTCACAATCTATTATTTCAGAAATGAACATCTATGGCTGATATCACCTTGTTTACTTCACAGCCATTTATCATGTTAATCCTTACTACAGTCCCTGTTTTACTACATAGGAAGGTAATGCTCTGATGCTTATTTACACATAAAATTCTATCTCCTGAAGGCAGCAGCATTATCAGAGTACAAAATGTCCGTCACTCCTCATACACTCTGATTTTAAATAATGTTACATGGGAGGGAATAAATACACTGTTTTATTACTCTTGTGTTAATGAAGTGTACAAATATGAATTTTGTGTAAATAAGGTCATTTTCTGATAGGTAGAAAACAGCTGAGGGAGGATAAAGATTTCCTAAAGCAATCCACTGGAAGCTAAACAAGCCTTTGAGGAATGCTATTTCCCCTGGCCTCAGCACCTACCAGACAAGTTATCTTGAGTATTAACTATAGGGAGAGTAACTCAAATTATAAATGGAGTTGGACTGGAGAATATGTCATATATAAAATGATCTAAAAATACTTTCAGATAGTGAAGTCTCAAAGGCAGCATACACTGAAATGGAAATGGTTTCTACTTAGAAGGAGATTTGCACATATTGATGCCATTATCATCTCCTTGACAAATTATAAACCCTTGCTACAAACTACAAGGGCATTATATGAGAGTTCTTAGACATAGTTCAAAAATTATAATAGCAGGTTTGCTGCTGTTCTCCCCATAATAGCAATTATAATGACTGAACAGATTAACTACTCCAAGAGAATTTCAACAATACATGCTGTAAGGAATGACATGCTGAACCTTGTATAATTGTCATTGCAAATCTAATTTTTACTGAAAAAAAAACCCCCGTTTTACGTTTATAATAGTACAACGACATGGGAGTGCTAAATAAAATGTCATCCTGCCTGCAAACAAATCCTGCTGATGCAAGTGCTGCTTATACCATGGTGTCTGCCATTAAGAAAGTACCTGCCGTCCTCTGGGAAACGCATTGCGAGTCTTGTTCAATTGAGGCTGTGAAAACGAGAGCACTTGGGGGATAGACCTGGGAACCTGGCAACCACACAGCTGAGAAAGGATCCTTGCCACAAAAAGAATTTGCATGTTCACCTCTGTATTGCCTAACAAGGACGCTCCTGCAATTCAAGATTCTCTATGCAGTTTCTAGTGTGCAAGTTAAAGGTAAATAAGAATTATAAAGAATATTTTCTACCATACTGCAATATATGTAGTATTGGGGCTAAGACTGCTGTTTTCTAAGTCCCTAAAGAGATCAGTGGGAGTTTTGCACATGACTCTAATAGGAGCAGGATACAGCCCTGTCAACCAGCCAAAAATCTGAGTGATTCATAAGACGGATATTTTTATTTTCTTCATGTTTATCCTCAGTTGTGTCAGATAAGTGGGAACAATGGGTCACACAAAAATGAAACACAGTACAGTATATTTATTATTTTTAATAAATACACTTTTCTGAGTTATTTGATTAATTTACAGCTACATTTCTAGTCAGAGGGGGAATTTAATTAAGGAAATAAATGATAAATACAAATTGTAAGCCTCTATCTTCACCTAAAACAGTGAATTTCCATTTAGTTAGTGTATGTGATAGGATTTCCTCTCAATGATTCTGTAACATAGTAATTTGCCAGGTCACTTAAAGGACAGCTTTCCTATTCTGAAATCTTAAGAACATAGAAATTGTTTCTTTCAAAGCACACAAAAACTGAATATAAAATGACTAACACTTGTTTTATATTTTATTTCTTTTTAACATTTCTTTTAGACATGTAACTATGTGTCATCTGTGCTTAATGATATATGTTTCTAACATAATGAGCCTGAGAAATAATAAGAATAGCAAGTGTGTGTGGCACAAAGATCTGTACTTGAGGTGATGCACGTCATATAAATGTGTACAACTGAAGCTTAGGAATACAAAAGATCATTGGATAAGATCTCTAAATTGAGTTTCCTCTTTTATCTAATTACTATATTTTTCAAAATTTCTCATTTGAACATAGAGATATCTTCAATAACTATAGAATTATTAAAATACTAAACAGAATATCTGTACTATCTCAGTTTAGGTATCTAACTTGGTAGGGAAACTTGGCTTTGCATTTGATTAGGTCCTTTCACAGAGGACCTAATTCACTAAGGATTCACTAAGGAGCCTCAAAACACTCTCAATCACTTGCCTGAAATCCTCTCACCATTTAACTGGTTTAACTGGTTAAATCATATTTGCTCATGTGAGCATTGCTCATATTAAATAAATTGTGGCTTATGTGCCCATACCATGGCACGGTTTTCTATCTATTAAAATACACCGAAAAGAGCTGTCATATTTTCACGGCATTTAAAATGTTCAAGTGAAAATTACTGGAAGTTTTGGGAACCAGGAGAATTTTACTTTGATATTTTTGAATCCTTAATTAAGAAAACTCTGTTAAAAAACATATTTTTTATCATTAGCTATGAATTTCTGCTTGTTTATGGACAAAAATAACCCTCTTCTATCCATAGAGAAGAGAGAATTTAGAAGTGGACCATCTTTTTCATTTCAGTCCCATCAGCAAGAAGATCTACTGTGAATTAGCCTCATGAAACCTTTAAAATCCTCACCTCAGCCTTCTTTCAAGATGACAGATAATTTAATTCTAAGAATATTACCGACTCAGTGCCCCTTCCCATACTTACTACTAGTATGATTTGGGAACCCCACAAATGGCCAGGCTTCTACAGTGTCCGTGTGGACATGTCATTAGAAAGCTTCAACGAAGCAGTGTGTGCATCTCTCTAAAAGCACAGATGTGCATAGACTCTTGTACTTCCATACAAGAGAAGGTAATTCAATCACAAATACCATGTCAGCAATGCTCTTTTTGTGATCACTCTGCTAATTATTTGGATATAAGCATTCAAATGAGCCTCAGCTCTATTGAAGAATATGTGCCATAACAGCTTTGTGAAATTAGGAACATAAGCAAATACCACCCTCCCAAATCTCAGCTGTGACTAGAAAAACAAACATAACACTAAACAAAGGCATCAATAAGATGTAAAACCAGCCTTACGAAATTAGTTCTCCTGTTAAGATCTTCATCAATAAATCCATCAGTTCTGCTAAAAAATAGATACTATTTGCTGAATAATCTGAAGTTAGCTATACCTAAATACACCATCTGAGTTTGTACTTGACGTCTAAACATTTCTGCATTATTTAGCTACCCTTCTACTAAAGAAAACATAACTGAATTGCAATCCAAAATGCACAGGATATTCAAATTAACTAAATTACTAATAAATATGCTCTATCTACCTAACTATCATCTATTAGTAAAGTAATAAATAGTAAAGCAGTAAATATATTACTAACAAATAAATAAATAAATATTTACATGCCAATGTAAATGGACAATGCATGGAACATACTACACCACAACGGATTATCATGTTTGTCTATGTCCTTGTCAATATATTCATATTGCTGAAATCAACACAAATAACAAAACAATGAGCACAACAGCACAATCTCTAATACATGCAGACATGCACACAAATAGTAATCACCTGAGTCCTTCTCTGCTGTAGCTAAAGGTAAAACAAAAAAGAAGAAAATGATTATTGTGATTAAATGGTTAAGATGGTTATTTTAATTTTATCAGAGTAGAAAAAACATCAAATACAAAGTTTCAATGTTTAATCTCCTTAAACTTGTGAGTATAGCAGTGAGAATGCTGACAGCTCATCCAATTGATGGGATTTGTCAAATGAGGGGGTAATAGTGTGTGTTTTTGTGTAGCATTTATAAATGATAATAGAACATAAATAATAGAGTAAGAATATAAGAATATTATTTCATTAAAACTATCTTCGCAGTGCTACTCTGTACATAGTTATTATTGTTGTGTAGCAGATACTCTCATACAGAAGATTCACCTGACTGACTAAGGTGACCTTTTAATATCACTCTAGTCAACAAGGAATAGGGCAAGAATCTACATATTATATGCTGTAATAGCATATAGCAACTACATTTGAAGACATCGAGCAGTTTCTAAGTATAATGGCTATATATTTTCCGTATGCTATACAAAGTGCAAGCAAGTAAAACAAAGATTAATTACTTGTCGGAGTACACAATACCATTGTACTGTATAGGACAGTAAAATGTTCTCATAAACATAAAGGAACAGATGGGAGCTTCTGCTGAAAGCTTGTAAGTTTTTTCTGCATTGCTGAAAACATATGATAGCTAATAATGACTTTAGTATTGAAAGAGGTTCTAGAGTTCTAGATGTACTCCTTCCTACTAAAAACCAACATACTTTTTTTTTGATATTATGATGTTTCATTTTCAAATAGCATTTTACTACCTACTCTTAGAGTAAGAGTAAGTAAGTATGTAGGACTTAGTAGTAAGTAGTAAGTTACTATTACTCTACATACTTACTACTTACTACTTACTAGTAGTACTCACTACTTACTCTACCTACTACTACCTTGAGTACATCATTCACATATCTAAGTTAACTGACTATCGAACTTTGGGCTGTTACATGAGCATACGTAAAGAAATCTAGTTGTGTATCAACCAAAAGACAGTAAATCCACAAAGAAAGTCATATTAATCAAAATGTGCCATGGGACAGACTGCAGTTTTATGTTTGGTTCCAGCTTATTATAGTGCTAACAATATTCATGTTTTAAAGTGCAGAATTTGGTACTCTACTTACAGTTGAATTGTGACAAATCTCCAGGATATAATTTAAAATCTTGGGCAAAGATATATACATTTCATTGTGATAAACTTTTACAAAATCCAATTTATTATCAAAGAGTTTAGATATCTTGTCTGTGCTTTTGTGATCTTTTTAAAAGGCTTCTACTTTTAAACTGTATATTTTAAAAAGGTTGTTAAAAGACTAAGCTACTGAACAACAAAAAATCCTTTTATAAATACAAAAAGATAAATTCTAAAGAAAAATGATACTTCTGCTTTTTCATTTTCCAAAAGAGATTTAATATGCATCCTCCTTTCCTTAACACAACATGATATCATAATTAATTAAGATAAACTGGTTACTGAGATGGTTTCATGTTGTTACTCCCATGATATAATACTGGTTGCTATAGTGATGAGAGGGGTTTTTTGTTAATCACTTGTGAGATTGGTTAGCTCATGTTTTTCAGAGATTTTGAGCAGAAATGGAAAAATGAAAAAGTTGACTTTATAATACCACTAAATACATGAGCCTTCCTCATTTTGCTCATATGGTAACGCTATTTACTTAGAGAGTACCACTAGAAATACACATTACAAAACCATGTTAAGCCTATAATGTTTTTTTAATATCATATTTCCTGTTAACAAGAATATTTTCCTGTTAACCCACTCCACCTCTAAAAATAAGCATTTAAATAAAAACATGCTTTTCTTTTTCTATTCCGGCATACATCACAGTTATATCTCAAGCTTTCTGTGCTTTATGTAGAATTACAAATGTGTCTTAGAACACTGTTTCGACTGTTTTGACTGTTCCACTTTTTCGACTCCTTTTTGTTCTATGTATGTTTTACAAGTATTAAAGTAACTCTGCTGCATATCTCCAAGATGTTTTGTTCTTTTTGAATAAAATTTCATTTAGTTTTTCTGCATATGTACTAGAACACACTCCCTTTCCAGAAAAAGTGCTAATTACAAGTAGATCTCATATTTTACTCTGTTAATGCATTCAGTAAATCAGGATGCAATTATGGTTTGAATAATCATATTATCTTTATACCACTGAAAATACAACAAAAATAAACTACACTTATCTATCTGCCTTAGAAATAGTTCTGAAAAGCAGCTATACCCAGAGTTTTCAACTTCCAAGGTACTGTTACTGTGAGCACAGGGAAAGAATATCCTGCCACTAGTTTAATAACCAAAAATACTTAGAGAAATAAAATAATCCATAAACAACCTTTTAGATTTATGGAAAACTCAAAAGTAAGAACAAAGGGCAACTTAAATTAAGAAGTCCTGGTCTTCCATTCAAACAGGGTCCCAGGAGGCATATTAAAGCAATGAATAGGAAAAAGCTCCATAGTTCACCAGCTGAGATTTTAATGAGACATTTCCCCTTGCTGTGGATGGGGTTTGTTCAGGAAAGGGAAAATTCTGCTCGCAGAATATTCAGTTAAAAGGCACTGTTGGCTTTTACAGCCACTTTGGCAGCTGACTGCTGTACTAACCTTCTATTTTGGCATATTCTGTAAGTCGAGTGTAATTGATCAAGGCAGCCTTCTCCAGACATTTTCTAACCACTTTCTTCACCTCTTCTGCTGGAATGGGGGTGGCAATATCTTTCATTAAAACCTGTGCCAGAGACAATTATACCACTTGGTTACACGCATTACTCAAAACTCAAGAGGAAACAATGAAAATTTCCTAATGTTACTTTAGCTCTCATAGAGATTAAAGGCCAAAATCAAAATGGAACTATTTCAGTATGGAACTGCCATGGATGAACCACATATTTATCTCCATAGGTTTGACTTCAACTCTGATTTCACTGTATGTATTGTATTCATATCCAAACAGTATCTCCTCTATGGGTGGGCACCTTGCAGCAGGCCAGGAACACTTCTTGGATGGGCTGGACTGTCGTATCCACTACAGATGCAGATATGAAAATTTGCTTTTTTCTCACCTGTCGGAAAGTTTCCACCATTTCATAATCATTCATTCTTTAGCAATGTAAAGCAGAAAACACGTGCACCCTCAGAACTAGTTATAATTAGTGCTTTTCTTTTTCCATAAGTTATTTAAATTCAGTATGTCCTTTTGGTGAAAAATAATGAGTTGTTTTAGGCAGGAGGATAAGCTGAACTGCCCATTAAATATTTTAAAAAGACAGTTAGTGGAACAGCTCGTAGAAACTTTTTAAAGACTATTGATTTTTCAAATACAACTGCGATAAAATGAGTCATTTCAATTCTTGACCTTTCTGCAATTAAAGGAAGTCCTGTCATAGCTTAATGAAGTCAAGCTGTCACTTAAAGTACTAAACAGGTATGTAGGCTTTTAATAGCTTCAAAAATAAATAACATGTCAGCAAAGAAACTGTAAGATTTACATTTGATTTAAACCTTTGAAAAAATATTTTTCGCTGAGTAGTACTTAATTACCAGGTTGGCTTGAAAAACCAAGATTGTAGCAAGCAAAGTAAACTGGGAAATATACGCCCTTCATATGAATGCAATTTTATATATTCTGAGCCCTATGAATATTGAACATAATCATACAAAAAGAACTTGAAAAAAATGTTAATATTTCACTATCATTTTTACTTTATACTTCACTCACTTTCAACAGGTAGGTGTAAACAACATTCATTATGTTTTTGTCACACTTTAATATAAAAATCAGATAATTCACAAGCTTTTCAAATTGTTTGTCAATAAATATGGATCCTCAGATAAGCTACACTTTAAGAAAATACATCTAAAAAATACAGTTACAGATATGGTCTGGGGAAGGAAATTGTATAAAAAAAACCAGCTTCAGCAGCAAGAAACCTATTAGGGAAAAATTGCAACAAGCTAGACATGCTTTGTTACTTACACCTACCTGTATCATGTACTGGCCTCTTCTCACATGGTTTTATTCTATTTATTTATTTATTTATTTATTTATTTATTTATTTATTTTATGAGTAATTTCTGAGTTATCAGCAAGTGATAATACAATATTGAAAGACTTTCATTCTGGATATTATGAAGATATAGTAAAATTTCTAACATATTCTGCATCCACAAATACAGGCAAGCCCAGGTATCCCCAGAAGAGAGAGATGTTGCTGGTTTGCCTGTCTGATACAGGATACTGCCGACCACTTGTGACAGCAGGAACAGAGAGAGGGAAAGGGTGTTTCTTAGAGCAGAAAGCAGCACTACATAGCACTATAATCACTGAAATGAAATACGAAAGGAAATATATAGACTCCCCATATGTCACAAGCAGTCGCAGTCTCCATCCTTGGGGTGATGTGCAGTGTGAAACAGCTAACATTTCTCAAGACCAGACCACTCAGGTTTAGGCAGAGCTACATAGAGTGGGATCTAAGGTTTGTTTCAATTCATACCTTCATCGGGCTCCTGCTGATACAATTCCTTTGGATTCCCTGCTGGAATTTAAGACTCCTCTTTCCTTAGAGAAATGTTTTGAGCAGAGATGCTCAAAAGCAGAGATGCTTTTACCACTACATTGTCTTCTCCCTTGGAGTCAATACAGGAGAATTTGCTGGGCATGGATTTACATTTATGGCTGCCCATGACAGCTTTACTGCATATAGCTATAGTTTTTTCTTCTTAAATTGATTTAGATTATGCATTCATGGAGGATTATTTGGATTATATAGAAGCTTTTTAATGTTTCACATCAGTATAGACAACATTAGAAACAAGGAAGCTGTGGAAAACAGTAAAAGGGGATTGTAGAATAAATGTATTAGAGAAAATGCTATGTAATTATTAAATTATAAAGAAACAAAGAATCACTGCACTGGCTGGAGGTGAAATTCCAATATTCATTTTTCTATGGAGAACAGCTGTGTGTCACTGTGGAAAAGGTTGGGAAAAAAATATGGAAAAATAATGTGAAATAAAACAATAAACAAATGGTAAATGACACCAGTAGTAGTAGAGTGTCCGAGAAGAATTAAGTTTTCTTAAGTAGCCAAAGTGCAGAAGAAAACAGTCTTAGAACTCAAGCAGAATTTAAAATATATTTTTAAACTTACTCTTTCAAGTAATGAAAGTGTGGCTTTTAAAGCTCCTTCAGGACGTCCAAATGGGAAACAATATCTTAAAAAGAGACAGAGCGAGATAAAATAATCAAACTATAATATCTAACTTAGGAATTTACTATAAGAAGTAACTTTATACACTACTTGCATTAATTATGTTTATGAAATACTCCATTCAGAAAGTATTAATGGATGCAGAAGGCCTCTTCAGGAGTCTACTATGGACTATATATATATAAAATAACAATATCAGACCACAGTCAGCTCAGGTCTAAGAATGGCAAAATATGAAAGACAAAGACAATTCTTTCACCGTCTCAATTACTAAGGATATTTAATGATCTCTGATGAGCTTAATTGTCATCCTTCTGGAAAGAAATACCATTTGTCATGTAGAATTGACAGCTACTGAAGCAATAAAGGAGCACTTGGTAGTGATGATGTGGTAGGATGTTGGAGTGATGATAGAAAGGCTGATTTTATGTGATAAACTAACAGATTTGGTCTACATGTCAATTTTATGCAAACATTCATATCCTGTTTTAATATTGTATTAAGATTGGAATAAATGATCAGATATCTAAGTTTCTGTAGATATATGGAAACACAGATGACTGTATACATCCCATATTTTTTGTACTATATAGCTATTAAATAGCTTGGGAGAGGATTTTATGCTAGCTTTTATCAGCTCTGAATTAAACTAATCCACTTCTGCCACCAAGTCCATAGTACTATGCGAATAAAAAAGTGATCATATTCATTGCTTTGTTTTTAATTTTTGTTTGTTGAATGATCCAATATATCAACTCAACGAGTCTATAAAGATCAAGCAACCCTAACCTCTCCTAATCCTGTCTGAAAATCTTACTGGGATATCCCCAATTGGAAAAGGGATTTTTTCATTTTGCTAAGATTATTTTTTATTAATATTACTCACTTTTCTAATGGATAAAAGGATTTAGACCACTGAATTTTAGAAATATATTTTGTTCAACCAACATAAAGCCCTGCAAATGAGGTCAAAAAAGGATTTCCAACAGAGAGCCCTGCCTCTTCATTTTGTTTCTTTCTTACTGTAGTGTTAGGAACTCTTGGGATGTGTTAACAAACTCACAGAAAAAATGTAATGATGCTTAGGCTTTAAGTCATCCTGAAACAGCACACAGTTTTAGCAGTTTTGCCTCCTTCTTTCTTTATTGTTTATTTGCATAATCTTTGAATAGATTTTTCCATTGCTTACTTCTGTGAATTTGCAGTGACCATTTTTGAGTATTTGCCCTAGATTATATTTAATATTTCCAATCAAATATTTCCTACCCAATATGTTTTGCAATGTAAGCAATGTAACAAGCTCTCACCATCCAATGAATTTCAAAATCAAAATACAGGTAGAAGTTCCACTGTGGAGTAGGGACTATTGCAATTTATTGGAGAAGACAGTGTGCATGAGCACAACATAACTATATTTCAACTTTGGGACTGTTTGTTACAAGGTGTTACAGAGACCAGAAGTATAAAAATGTTGCAAAAAGGTTTAGGATTGACAGAGTGATGACAGAAAGTTTGATTTGATGTGATAAATTAACCAACTTGTTCTACATGGCAATTTTATGCAAACATTCATAAACCATTAATTCCTAGAGAATGGAAGGAGAGGAAATATCACTCCTAATCTGCTCTGCTGCTTGTATTCCTTCCTTCAGCACCTTCTACTGACCATTGCTGACCTGGAATAGCAGTTTTTACATTGATATGCAAATTTTTATTGAGGATAAAGGAGTTCAATTTATTCAGAATTGATAAATACTAAATAAATGCATAAGGTGTCATTTGCAATAAATGGATAAATATGTCACTTGCATTAAAAACAGCAAATGACATTAGATATCTAGAAAAAAAAATAGGTGTCTGTATCAAGATGTTGTTTACTCATGATATTTCTAATCCAGCATGGCCTAGTCATTTGCATTTAGGCAGTTCTCCTAGTCAATATTACAGAGAACTATAGAGTTCAAAATGACCAAAAAAGTCAAGCATATATTCTCATCAATCATATCCACCATAGACAGAATGCATCTCACAAGATATATAAATGAAATCTATAAAAAAGTAACAATTGTTTAAATCTAGTGCAAATCAGTTATGACATATCTAATATACTTACATTTATTATACTTAAAACTTATTTGCAGGTAGGCATTTTTAGCTCTCCTCTGTTTTGTCCAAGATCAAAACTGAGCACAAGCATGATAAAATGCTTCTAGCCAAAACTTAGTCAAATAAATTACACACTCACCTGAAATGGCTTATTTGATTTTCTAAAAGGGAAGAGAGTCTGTCTTTAATTTCTTCAAATCTTTCTTTCTCTTCAATGGATACTGTTCCAATCCCATCTGGTCTGTAATATTAAAGATTCAGTAATTTTTGACATTTCTTTTTCTGTGCTGTTTATGAAAACTAAGTATGTTTCAATCTGGTTATTCTTCTGTCAACTCAGCTTTGTGCTGATTCCTCTTTGAGCAGTGATTTTTAATTTTAAAGATTTCAGTTAACACACTTAGTATTCTCCTTTCTCTTTTTTTCCATTGTTTTGAAGGAAAAACAAGAATTTACAAGCATAACCAAAGAACAGACTTCAGCTGATGGAAGACTTTGAGCTGAACTTTTAAATTCAACTCCTAAGCTGCTACATGGTCATCATATCAACGCAAGGCAGCAGATACTTCTACCAAGTCCTCCCCAAATATGTAGTATCCTATCTCAAGAAAATGAGTACTTCAGTGACACAGAGGGACCACTCTAATATTATTGTCTCAATTTCAACTCTTTGAACCTTTAAGATATTTATCCTGAGGCACAGTACTGCTAAAAATGATTTTTAAAAAAGTTGGAGGCAACTTACAGTAAAAAAGACCTTAGCAGGCACCATTCATGAATTTTCCTGCTTGAGATGAGCCTAGATTTTGGATTCTTCATCCCATACTGACCAACAGCAGTAGATAAACAAGACTTCCATATGAATATAGCATAAGGGATGCAACAAATAACTATTCTTAATAAAACAGTGGGAAGATTTTTTTTTAAGTGCCAAAAACTAATTATAGGCCCCACATGAAGCACCTTAAGCAAACACTAAAATCTTATCCAGGATGTATTATTAAAGTCTACGCATTAAAATAATACCATAATATCAAGGAAAAATAAATGTTTCCCAATGTTATCTTTATCATATAGTCCCAAGTTTCCCATAAACACTACACTGAAAAAACACAGGATTTTTTCAGTTACCCTCTTAATTATTAGTTCCTAGGTAACAATTATTCATTCCTAACTGAGTTTAGTACTAAAGTCTGGATTCACCCTGTCCCTCTTCCAAAACCTCCAAAATTATATCTTACTGTATTTAGAATTTAACGCAGCAGGACACAGACAAAGACAATATCAGTTGGCTAAATTGTTACTATATCTTTCTCCACATTCTTTAATCTAGGAGAGATAAGTTGCCACTTGGTCTTGACATAAACAATTCTCTCACCCCTTAAATCACTTATATTTGCGGTCTGTCAAGTCAAGGTGGAAAGCACGCCTGAACTCTTTAAATTATTGCAAAGACAACAATAAAAACCTGATATGGTGGAGATATGTGTAACCAGGCACATCAATATACTACTGTATAAATTTGATATGAAAGAGCAAATAACTTCTATTCCCTCTTTTGATGGATGCCAGGACACTTTACCTCAGCCTTCTGACAGATGGAATGTGCTCAAATTTAAGTAAATTTCACTGTCTGATTTCATTGTCAGGAGAGATTTTGCTTTGGAGTGATAAAGTAAATAGGTCTGTCATATTAAACTTCACTGAGGCATGTCATATATATGACAGAAAAGACCTAGGGGTCCAGATAACAATAAGTGAGAAAGGTGAGCCAGTAGAATGTCATATCTGTCAACCTGCACTAAGACTAGGATCACTACATACTGGGGAACTGTCACTTCACTGAGGTTGCTGTCATACAGAGCCATGCTGACAGCACCTAAAATTTTCAGAATTCTTAAATATATTTTCAGTGAATGTTTGGAAAGCAACAACCATCCTAAAGGAAAAATAAAGAGTGAACAAAACACATTTGAAAAACGTACCATCTATTGCAATGAAAAGCTCATCTCTTCAGGACACGCTTTTAGAAAACAGCACAAACTCTGAATCATTATTTTGTTTCTTCCTGGTAGCCTTATAGTAACACGCAGAACACAAAAAATGTTACTTTCTCAACATAGTTGAGAGACACCTTTTGTCCTACTGGTCATTTCTTGCTCCTCTTGGGAATGTCTATTTTCTTATGTGGAAAAAAAAAAAAAGAATTCACAGTTTGGCTCTCAGATTATTTTAGATGGTAAGATTAATATGTAAATGATTTTGAAATTCACACTTATTTTTTCTTCTAAATCTTTCTATTTAATTCTTTTAAAGAAAGAATAACTTAAAGTAGCACAGCTTTTAGCTGGTTATTTTTATTTTTACTGTGCTTTCCAGGAAAGTGAGACACAAGCAGTTATCTCCTATGGGATTGGTGGGATGAAAAAAATTAGGTTACCCTAATTAGGGTAACCCTAATTACCTAAAAAATTAGGTTACAGAAACTATGCAAGAACTATTTTGCAACTAAAAACAGGATAATAACAAATACATATTTCCTACTATCCAAGACACTATAGATGGTGATTTGCACTTGATTGTTAATTTCCAAACTGCTACCGATGACTGGGACCACTCTTCCAAGAATTCAGCCAACACAAGCTATGGACTGTCTTGAGAAGAGTACTACCATGTTGTCATACTTTTGCATATCGGACACCACTTGAATATTATATTCCCGAGAAGGTGAAGGCAAAATGAATCTTCCTTTCCTCCATGTTTCATTCCTCTTCCTTCTTCACCACTGTTTTGTGGATTACAGAGCTAAATGAAAACTAAATAGTGAATAGAATAGCTGCCTCTTTTTCACTTGTATGAATTTTCCATTTTCTGTGAGCTCTGTCAATTGGATTTGGATTAGTCTGTCTTGTCTGCTTAAATCAGAGTCTAACTGGCACAGGCATAATGTTTTCTCTAGTCACATTTCAGCTTAATTCACTCAGACTTATATATCAGAAAATATTTGAGATAAATACAGGTCCTAACTCCTGCTAGAGCTAGTAAATTCATGCGGGAGGTACATTTGACTAGTAGACAATAAATAATGTTGCCAATACCAGAGGTCAGCCAGAATACCTAAAAAAAAAAAAGCCCCAAACTTTTACTATGACGAACTTCCACAATTGAAGTCCTGGTGGTGTTTACTATTGGGAAGGTTACTATTAGATAGTGGATTTAGGGCTTGCTATGGGTATTGACTATTCTCTTGATATAATCCTTCGAGGTGTGGAGTACCTCTAGAAATATTCTAAAGTTTAGAAATCTTTAGCTTGCAGTAGTTTGCAGAGGTCTCTTGGTACTTTGTAGGATTAAGATCTTTCTGAATAGCCATGGCAGGAAACAGAAAAATGGTATTGTAATATCAATGCTTATTAGTACAATGGATATCGGATTGGTTTTCAACCCTCAACTTTGGAAATAGCTTCTCCTAGTGGTCTGTCAGAGGGTGTAATCGTTAATTAGGCCTGTTTAATTGTGATAGGCCTATGTGTTATTAACTGAATGTGGTTGCAAGTTGTTTTCTTTCTGTGATACATCATCAACATGTTGCTTTTTGAATATCTGCATATCTTATATGTACTTAAAGGCTTTTAGAGAAGCTTTCCTTGTTAAAAATACGGACCATCCGTTTGGCCTGCCATAAAAAGTAAAGGACTAAAAGGAGACGAATACATGGACTGATATTCTGATATGTGCATACACAAAGAGATGAAAACAGCAAAGCTGACAAAGGGAAAGAAAAGAAATTATGATGAAAAACAAAATACGAGAAAAATACTTCAGTTGAAGTCTTACTTCAGAACATTTACACAATAAATTACATTTCAATGGTGTGAAAAAAAAGAGAAACAAAACTTTCAGGTCATCTTGGCCTCTAGAAACAAATTGTTTTAGAAGATTTCAGTGCTTTCTAAGAGCACTTCTTTTCAAATTCAAAAGCGTGTGCAATAAAATGAAAGAGCAGTGACAATTTTCAAATTATCAAGTTTGACTTCTTATTTGTTAGTGAACATAAAATTGTTCAGAGTTTTGATGAAGAGATTTGATTATTCATTTACTCAAATTTTAACAGCAAAATTTTCATTTAAAACACACTCATGCTAATTAAGGTATCTGCAGTGTCCATGGCTTATGCTAGATGAGTCTAAGAGAAATAATGATTTACATTATCAGCTTAGAAACAAGCAGAAAAGACATCTCTTTTAAAAGAAAAAGAAGAGAGCAAATTATCATGTGGCATTTATACACAGTTTTAACCTGCAGGCACTTGAAGACTGAGCATTTTGGTGTTTATATTAACTATTATTCAAAAATTCTTATAAAAGAAAAATGGCACAATAGAGCCTTCTGCTGCATGCATTTCTCAAGCTGATCCCACATCTGCTCAGAGGTCACACTATCTTTTTCAAAAGAGAAAGAAAAACACCAATTTTTAAGGCTTCTAAAACAGATTAAAATGGTAAATTGGGTTAATTTTCATGATCTTTTAGGCAGTTATATTTTAGATTGGAATCAGTAAAGTTGTACTGAAAGGCTAAACATGGATACATACATTATATGTAGGAATACGTATAAGCACTAATCACTGAAGTAACTGACATACAATCTATTATGTTAGGGAAGGTGAGGGTATGTAATATTAGCTGTTCCTTCATTGCCTAAGACAGTAGCTATTACCCTAAAATTTTGTTCTAGCATTTTTTTAGAATGTATTCTTTGTGATTTCTTTTTCACAGGGAATTTCTCTGAGGCTCTTCAGAAGCAAATCTAGGTGTAGTAAAAAGGTGACACTGTAAATATTTTAGTGGGGGTGAAATTTGAGATCAGCAAATTTTAACTACAAGCACTTTCCAACACAGGATAGCATCTTTTCTTAAGGCATAGGTGAGGTAAACAGGGCTTTACTTAGAGTCTGAAACAGGGCCAAGGATTCTGCTTCTAGCTTTGAACACAGGAGAATTCTACTGACAGCTTTTTGAGGACTATTGTCTCTCACCCTATTGATGGGCACCACTGTAGTGGTCTGGCCTCATCCTCTTTACACCTTCCCTTCAGATATTTATATACATAAATAAGATTGGGCGATCTCAGTCTTTCTCCAGCATGAAGGGTCCCACTCTCTCAACCTTTCCTCATATCACAAGTGCTCCAGTTCTTTAATTATATCAGTGGTCCTCTGCTTGAGGGTTTAATATCAAAATTAAGTTCTGTGAAATCAAAAACATGTGGATGAGGATGATTTGATTCATATAGCATATGTGGATTTCCAGAAATCTTTGGTTAAAAGCCCTGATCAAAAGCTTTTAAGACAGCTGAGCAGCCACTGAAAAGCAGGGAAGTCCTTACATTTACAGTGAAAGGAAAGAAAGAGCAGAACAAAGAGTGGGCAGCTGCAGTGGAGGGAAGTTATCAGCAAAGTTCTACGTGATCTGTGCTGAGACATGTGCTATTTTGCATTATTCACAAATGAACTTATAAATGGCTAAGAACTGAGGTGAGATATGGCATTGATAATTACACAGCAATAATATCTGTCAAGGTAAATAAATGTAAAGAAAGATCAGCCATGATCTCACATTGGATCCTTTGATGGTCATTTTCTATTTCAGTTCAGTTGTCTTCAGAAAAAGGAAATTAACATTAGGAATTACTAGAAAAGAATAGGAAATAGCAGAAAACATCCATACAGTCTAACCAGCATATAATGAGTGTATGATTCAGTCATAATTCTTGAAGGAGGATGTAGTTCACTTATCTTATTTGAAAAAGATTTAATAGTAGCAGCAGTGGAATAGCAGTGGAATAGTTGTGGGGGAAAAAAAAACAGACAAGGGCAATAAGGAAATTAAAAATACACAACATCCCTGGACAAGCAAAGACAACAGAACTCCCCAAATGACTGTGGATGGAAAAGTGAAAGATAAGCAAGTGGATTACACACTAGAAATTTACAAAATAATCAATAGCTAAGAAAAGGATTTCTCCTCCACCTTCCCCATCTCTTCCACTGTCAAGAGAGAATGAAACAAGACTTGAAGGAGTCAAATTCAAGAAAAGGTGATTCATTCAAGATGAAGATGACTTGTGGAACTTGTTGCCAAAGGGTATTGTGTATGCAAAGGCCTCATAGCTGTAATGACTGTGTACCTGAAACGTAGGCTCACTTCAAGTTACTAAATAGGTATTAATCATATCTAGCTAAGGAAATACTCTGGGCTGCAAAGAACTGGAGAGGGGAAGAGTATTCAGGAAATAAATATTACATGTGCTAGGTCTTTTCTAACTCCAACCAGGTGAATGTTGTGGAGACACGCTACATGAAGAGCAGAAGCCTTGGGGTGACTCAGTACAATTGTTCTTCTACTCAAATAAATGTATATATGGTGAAGATTTCAAAACTTGGGCAAAAAGAATGTAATTATCTTTAATTATAAACGGATTTTTCTAACATTCCTTTCACCTACACTTCTCATATATGAACTCCTTATAAATCATCTTTCCTTCTGAATAGAAAAGGTATAATGGGGATATGCTTGAATTTTGAATTTTTCTATTCTGTCTGTAACTCAGCAGGTGGAAAGAAGTCATTTTGCACTTTGAGTATTACTCACCAGCATCCATTTCAGACAAGAGGGACTGAATAGAAGTCTCAGCATGAAAAGTAGACAAAAGTGAAGACGATGAGGAAGAAAACAATAGTTCCTACCTGGACTGTTTAGACTGAAATACACTACTGGCATACACTACCATTCTCTGTTCTGTCCATTTCACTTTTACCAGAGATGCACAAGTGTACGAAAAAGAGCTTACTTGTGAATAAATGATTTTGATGGAGACTATTACAATAGAGCATTCGATAAGGAAAATATTGTGAAGAGGAACAAAATGAAGTTATATTGCAAAGTTACCTAGCACTTCGGCAGAAGCACAGCTAGGGAAAGCTGATTTTATTTACTAGATAAAAAAAAGATCATTTGATTCAGAAACAGAAAAGTGTTTGTTTTAAAACTCAGACAGCTATTCTTCTACTAAAAGGTTTTGATCTTTGGCTCATTAAGAGCAGAATGTATTAAGACGGCATAATGTCTTAAATATAAACAGAAATGTTATTTTTAAGTAAGCTGTTTAGCCCAGCCCAATGCACTTCCCAACAAGATGAGATAGGAGGGACACTTGAAATCCTCAATCTAGGACACAGCATATTGTGTCTGCAGAAACATTCCACTTGCCAAACCAAAAAGATAAGAGATGTGTTAAGTATAATTACAACTGATATCTATCTTGGAACTTGTTAACTACATTTTTGTCTCAGGGAAAAACAAAACAGTCAGGGAGTGTTCTCCAGTCCAGAGACCAAATGGCAAGGTCTGCAGCAACCAGCTTGCACAGGGGTTAGCCCAGGTCTCCTCTGTGCTCCACGTCGTCCCCGAGGCCCTAGGATTTAATGATTAATTTTTGTATGTTTATTCCAGGTGTTTTGAAATCAAAAACATGGCATTATGTTGTAGCCTGCTAAAGCAGTGTCACTGCAGCACGAAAGTGTTTATATTCCAAGTCCTAGGGTGTTAGAAAAAACATATGGGGGATCTGAGGGTTCAAAATCTGCTTAAAGAGGGTTGAAGACATGTGAAGAGTTGAAAGCTAAAACTGATTTAGCCTTGTTTACCACATCTATGGCAGTACCACCTCTATGGCAGCACCACATCCATGTCATCAGTATGTGCAATCCCATAAGCCATACCTGGGATTACTTAAAGTGCCGACAACTAATGGACAGTCAAGGATCTATTGTATGAAACAGCTTCCCAAACAGCTTTATGCAAAAATTGGATGTAGCCACTGGTCTGCTCAGCATATGTCCAGATATGGTTCCAGTATATTATGTAGCTTTGCTTTGAGCTCTTCCTCACCTGACTACCAGAAATGACAAAAGTGAAGTTATCTGAATCTTTGATTGATGTCATTAGACTGTTACTCTAAAATTCATGCCTAGAGGAAAGAGATGATTTTAAGATAGAGATATGACTGAATTTCTACACACTCCTCCACCTCCTGATTTCAAGTTTATGTATCTTTGATGATCTTTCTCAGGCTAGCAGAAGGTCTAAGATGACCTTATGAAGATGAGGGGAAATATAAAGTGACTGCCTGATGTCCAAAGTACAAAACTCTTTGTCTTTGTGCTGTGGTCTTTCTAATTTTCAGCCTGACTTATAAAACTAAGATGTATAACACCAGGGATCAGCCTAGAACTTTGGCCTGTGATGCATTGTCTGTGAAATTCTCTTTTTCCCTTTTGCTATTCCTTAGTGTTGTGGTAGATGAATGAGTGGATGTATTATGTGTGTATATGTGTCTGTCATCCTCAGCGTGTGTGTCTGCTTCTGTCCTTGACTTACTTTTCTTCTTTCTTCATCTTGCTTTTTTCTTTCTTTTTACAATATCTCAGTTCTAGTCAGACCCTCTCTGTTCAACACTTCTTTTATTCCTAGAACACTCATAATGCTATTCAAAGAATATCTGTAAAGAAGGAATAGACAGAATACAAACAGAGTGCTTACCACTGTGTAAATGATGTGCTCCCTGAGATTTTTTTCATGCACTGCACACACTGTTGTCCTTCAGTTAAATTATGAAATAAAAAAGAAATATATCTACCTGTCTTTAGAATTCTTCAAATAAGTTTGAGCAATTATCACTGTATTGTCTTGATAGGTTGAAACCAGTAATAAAAAGGCTAGAAACAACAAGGACATAGACTCTATAGGAAATATGAATGTGTCAGGTTCTTCAGGAACTGACAAAAGAAGCATGCTTTAAAGAGAATAGGTTACCAAGTAAAAGCCAGAAAACCTCCTATCTTACCAGTACGCACATTAAGATTCTTGAGAATATTTCCAATACATGAAAAAACCTTTTAACTTAGTGTATTATAATTAAGAACTACATAATGTTAGTCTCCCAGTAACAAATTACTTAGGTCATAAATGCCCATCTTCTACCTCCACGGATAGAAAGCTTTGTCTGAGCCAACGGGGAAAACAATATTCTTGTTCCTTTTAAAGGATTTCGTCCTCTTCACTGGCTACTGGATGAGTAGAATAGGCTGTATGATTGACTGCTTGCAGGGCAACATCTTGAGAAGAAAACTTCTTTTTCCTCTCATTTTTACTGTGATGTCAGTAGGATTTGATTTGGGGGATTTCTTGAGGGCATCATAGTAATTGCTTTAGGGGCCTTGGAATAGGTTTTCTCCTCATGGCTGGATCCAATCAGTTGAGAGAGGAAAATTGCTTGGGGATTTTGATGTTTTTGTTTAAAAACATTTCCTACAGCAGTATACAAATTCAGTGTTGTACAGTAGGTTGTAAGTGCATTTTGGCTTATAGTTTGATAAATGGTCCCTACCCGTGTACCAGGAAGGAAGAACCTGTAGAAACTTCTGCTTTATCCTAAGGCTACAAATGTATAAATGTATTCACCCATTACATTACCTGTTACCATGAACATGAGAAGCACAAAATGCAAAACTGTAATGGAGCAATGTCGGATCAATGACAGAACCATTTTCTGAATGTTCAATCAACTCGTTAAGATAGCAGAGATGGCGGTGGCAGCCTCGCACTCCATAGCGAGCACAGTATTCATCAAGCACAAACACCTGGCCTGGGCTAAACCAACCCTGAAAGGGAAGAGCAAAAAATCAAAACACATGTTCAGATTTCTTTTTCTGCTCACTGCTTTTAAATCAAACAAAGAAGAAGAGAATTTTTTTTTATGCAGTATATTCGCTTTTTAGAACAGAATAATTAAAGCTGACTAATGTGGACAGAATATATAGCAGCTAGATCCAACAAGTCCCCTTCTCAAAGGATTATGAAATAGATGATTTACAAAAGCTGGTTAATACATCAAAAGTCTTCTACAGATTCAATTATATCAATACCTGACACTCTACCTAATAAAATAAATAATCACTTGATTGGAAATTCACAGCTATTTAAATTTATTTATTAATTTATTATTTTTCTTAACTGTGATATTGCCCTCTCCCATTCCCTGATAAATGACAGAAGAGGTTGAGGAATAATTGAATTCAATGATTCTGCAGGTTGTGAATTTATAACTTCAATTTAGGAGCTGAAGACTACATTTCAACAGTGCTTGTGAATACTTCTGCCAGCTCAGATGCCTGACATTTATATAAAATATCAGCAAAAGTAGTAGGAAACAAAGCTTGAAAATATATTCATATCAGGTTCAAGTCATTCACGGTTAAAGAGTTGCATGTGAAAGGAATTTAAATTCTATGTTCTCTCTCTCAGATCTTGAAGCCAACATATTATTTGCTAATGAGTATTTCTAAAAGTCATTCTTTAAATCTGTTTGGTTCTGATTCACCTCACAGGAGTTAATGCTGCCTTTATTAATCTTCAACTATTTCTACAGACTGTTTAGCTTTGTTATACCCAGTTTACTTAGAATTTTAAACTAATATCTAACTCATGCAGTTTACATAAAATATTTATTGGAAAATACAATATTTTGGTAAAAGGAGAAAAAAAAAAGAATTTTAACTGAATTTCATTTTATGAAACACATGATGAACACCTCAACTCTTAACAACAAGAAAAGTTGTTGTTATTAAAATTCCCATATCCTTTTAGAATATAAAGAAATTCCAACAGATTTTTTAATTTTTAACATTTTTAAACATTTTTAAACAGCAAATTTTTAAACATCTCATTATAGAATTTCTCTCTGTGTAAGAGATCTGTTTTAGTGTGGTCATATGCTTTTCTTGCCCTTGCTAACTCCACAGGATGCATAACCATCAATGCTAAACAGCTATGCAGTACAGAGTATTAGGGAAATACATAGTTCCTCTTTATTATAAAATTGAAAAAAAAAAAAACCCACCCAACTAACTAACCAAACAAAAACATCTCCCCAATAAGAGGTTATGAAATTATAAAGTTTAGATCAGATAATAGTTTAATCAAAAACTCTGCTTATTTCTCATTCTTAAAAAAACATTTTTTCTTTATTAAATAATAGTTGCACACATCATTACATTTTATTGAAATGTAAAGATACACTTCAAAAATACAGGAAATAAGCATTCACTGAAAGATATGCTCACACATTCTATTTCTCAATATTTCAATAGTAAAAATATGTCTATAGTTAAACATGTAATTTCACCAAAAAATGATTACCTGTTCTACTTATTAAAAGCCAAATTTAAAAAAAAGAACAATAACAAATGCATCTGCTTTATGGTTGCTATAGCGCTGTGTATTTCAAATAACCTCTCCTGAAAGTTCCTGATTTCAAGGTTATATTAAGTGTCTTACTATATTATTATTATAAAAAAAGATTTTGACCCCAATGCACTGTTAGAAAGCTAACCATTTTCTCTTTGAGTGCCAATTACTTTGTACAGATGTACCTTCAGGCCTTTTCTTTGATTCAGTGTGCAACCCAGAGACAGAAAATGAGTCCTTTAACTTTTTCTATACATACTTATCTGGTAGTGTTTTAAAAGGGAAGCAACTGTCAACAAATAATCAAGTATTTTATTTTTTTCTATGCTTGTAGAAACCAAAAAACCCTAAAAAATTATAATCTTTGCATTACATGACTAGCAGGCCCTGGTAAATAAATAAATAAAAAACAAACAAACAAACAAAAAAAGATTATTTGCTGTTAGTCGATTAGGAAAGTGAAAAACATGAGCTATATAACTTGACTAAATCTTAGTGAAAATTAGGAATTTTAGTTGCCCAAATTATGTGCCTAGTCACAGAGATCACTATTCCAGACAATATCAGGTGAAATATAAAGGAATAAAAAGATCTGATCTGCATAAACCTAGTTAATATGGGTGTATAGTCTGACTTTTACAGGATTACTGCTGGTAAAATGTACCACAAATGAAATCAGAGCCTCATCTTTAACTCCTAACCCCCAAAAGCACAGAATAGAATTATTACAAAGAAAAGTAAAACTGCAGCTGTAGATATGGGAAGATCATTAAGTCAGTCTTTTCTCTTTATAGCTGTCCTTAAATGTGAAAAACACACATTTTGAAGCAGAGGTCACATTTTACTTGTTTCTGTTTGATAATTATACTCTCGCTTGTTACTTAATTCAGGTAATGCAAAAATATTTACACATCTACTGAGATTTTGCTTCTTTTCTTTTGGTGCTTCTACTTCCTCAGAGCACAAAGGCATGAAAAGTTGCAGGATAGACGACTGCCTGATATGTGGTAGACTGCATTTGTCCCTTTAAATGCCTCTATAGGTGTCAGTTATTCCTTCCAAAGAGGCTATTGTGATTATCAAAATTTTAAGTTTTTATTCAAACCACGATAGAGGCCATGATAAAATTCATCTGAGAAAATCAGAGACCATCTGAATCTCTTTACTTCTCTACTGAGCGGTCCAGCTACAGTTCACAAGTGTATAATTTTCAAATTTGAAGCCAACTGATTGGATCCTTTATTCCAGCGATAACCACAGCTATTGAATGAATCAAGATGAAAGGACCGCTTTGTAACAACCATTTCTCACTCCCTGGCAGTACTTACCAAGCAGGAATAGGAATCATTCAATCTGTGATCTAAGGTCTGCCTCTGAAGCAGTCTGAACAGGGAAGCATGGTCAAATTTGCAGGGATTAGCAGAAATAAACTCATCCATACCATGTTTCTGACCACGATCTGCATCTGTTCATAGAAAGGAGAAAATGTGTAGCACATTGTATGATACGTAAGTCTCAACATATACACTTGCTTGAAAAAAATTACAAAGAAAGAAGTATATGCTTAGGTGCTCCATGTATTTCTAATTATAGGGCCTTTATAATCTAACAAATAATTTTAATGAATTATATTTGTATTGACATAAAAATCCATGGAGTGCAACAGGGAAAAAGAATAGTCGCTACCAAATGAAAAATTAAAGAAAATAGTTTAAAAAGGTACCTGAAAATATAGCATAGCATACTAAAATATTTATGAAAGCACTCTTTTCTAGTGGAACTTAAAATGCCACAATTTACAATTTTACAAATACAAAAAAATTTCTACAATTTCCTGGATTTGTGTGACTCTGTAGTGAGATAACTAAATGAAATTCCTTTCCTCCATCGAGAAAAAAAGATTCATGTTTTTATTTCTTTTCTGATAAGGAAGAATATATTTACTGCAGTCCAAGTAGCACTCAGAAATATTCTTCATGGCTTGAACACTACTTCTCAAATGGCAAACTGGAGCAGAAATGAACACACTAGCTTGAGCTAGGTCATTTCCAGCCTTCTTTTTGTACTCAGCTTTTAATGAGACAAACCTTAATGTAGTAATGGCAAAGAGCCCCTTCAACCTTCAAGCAAAGAGTAGTGAAAAAGCGAGCATCATTTTTGTGTAAATACATCGAGAAAACATACCATCCCAAATGGCACTTCAATCAAAGGCCCAAATTTATTGTTCTTCACAGATTGCATCTTTCAACGCCTCTAAACCCCGCGGGTTTATCAAAAGAGAAGCTTTAGTGATTGCTTTCGTAATGCTATGTTTTGTCAAAGTCCTCAATGTGAATTATCTATCAAGTATGGACAGAAAAAGCCTTACAGTGCCCAAAAGGACTAGTTATGTATTAGCACATTAGCTGTCTTAGATTCTATAGACTGTATCGGGGTGAACAGTCTTATCAACTTAGAAATTGACTTCCCCTTTCAATAGGGTCTTAGCTCTTTGTTCCTTTAAATTCAAACCTGGGTCTTTTTATATTCATTACTAGAAAAGTATAGATCTAAGTGTATCCTAAATGCAAGTCCGAAAAAAAAAAAAAAAACCCTGCATAGTACAAACCTAAAATTTCTAAAGAAAAGGAGACAAAAGTTTATTGATTAAACCCAATTATAGAGTCAGGTTCATAATAAAACTCAATATTGATCTGTGGGCATGATGCTAACATAATCAGTCACATTTAGAAATTTAGCCCCAGATCATATTGATCCATGTCAAGTCCAACTTTCAGCTGTATTTGTGGATGGAAGAATTATTTAATTCAAGCTGAAGGATCTGCAGCATCACATCCTGGAAAGATGCAGAAACTAATTCATATCACTTGGCTTTGCATTGTCAAAGCAAGAGTCACATCCATGTGACAGATTTCACCAAGGTGGTTGTAGCAAATAAACAGCATGACAGTACATCAATGATGTAAGGTATGAGACTATCATCTCAGGGAAACAGCAGCATATTTTTTTAGGATTTAAGGTGCAGTAGCAAGTGCGATTACACAGATCAACAATATTTCCATGTCCATTAGACTAGCCTATCAGTAATCACAAACTCTGCCCCTGTTTTTGACTTAGTTACATTAAATATTCTTTCTTAAGCAGTGTAATTTTACTTAAACACATGAATTCAAAGATAAATAATGAGTATGAACATAACTGTATTACTGAAAGTATTAAACAATTATGTAAAGTTATCTATAGGTCCCAAAATGATCCACACACAGGTAATCATTTATCAGACACAGTCTGCTTAATGTGTTACTGTTCTATAACCTTCTTGCTAATTTTCCTTCTTTTACCAATATCTAATTTATGAAATGATTTTTTAAAATAAAGAAAAGAAAAACGGATTAATATCTATTTCAGTCATATACTCTCCTGTATAAAGTACACATAGCTGGACCTTTCTTAATTGTCTTGATCTTTTCTTCTGGTTAACTATAAAAATATAAAATATTTCTGCCCCTCCCTGTCTTTTTTTTTTTTTTTTAATCTTTATAAGTATTGACAAGTAATTAATTCTATTCACTTGAAATCCAGACGCTGTTGCAGACATCTAGACACTGGATGCAAAAAAAACTAAAAAAAATAAAAATTCAACTTTCTGATACAGTAGTTTAGACTGTCAGAAGGTTACTACTGATGGTAATAGTGCCTAAAAAGCAGAACTTGTTGTTATGTAATTTGGATAATAAGTAAAAATGTTTATTTTAAAATATACATATTTGCTACATCTAATTCTAAGCAATAACGATGACTGACCACCATCTGACACAAGTGAATCAAACAGTCCAAATAACATTGTTGTCAAACATTAACAGAAATTCTTATAACAAATATATTCTAAAAATAGAGAAACGGTTAAAAACTTACCTTTACTAGCTGTGGGCAAGCAGAAAATAACAGAAAAATAGATCTAATGTAATACATTAAAGTATATTTTGTTATTATGAAAAATAGTAAATATTTTTGAAACAGAATGGAAAATATTCTTGATAATCTAAGAAACTGACAAACATTGCAGAAAAAGGAAGAATAATGAATATTTTATGACCACGATTTAGAAATTTATTAGTATTAAACTATATTTTTCAAATAGCTACAGAAATGAGCTTTAGAGGCCCTGTTCAAACTACACAAAAGTGAAAGACAGAACAATTCCTATATAATGGTATACAGCTAAGAAAAAAGTAGAATTCCTTTTTCACCTCTACACATTCTCAAGCTTGGGAAATATCAGGAAGAGAAAGAGGGGAAAATTGTAGGAATACTACTTCTACAGCTTTTCCGTAATTAATTGTCTTATCTTCTTAAAAAAATATATTGTCCTGCTTCCAGTCGCCTCTAACTTTCTCACTCACTCAAACTTTTTTGGCTGATATTTCCATGTTATGTGGTCTGCTTCAAACTACATTATTATTTTATCATTTGGAAACTTTTATTTAAAAATAACCATCCACTTTTTAGATCAAGACAGAAAAAAATGTGAGATACGTATCTTTTAATTCCATGATAAAAACTTAGAAAAGCTCTTGTTGAGGTTTTAGCGAATCTTTTGGGTGTTCTTTTAGACAAGGATATTCATTTTAGAATAGCACCCTGAATATTCCCTTTGCCATCTCTACAAAAAGATTGGAAGTTTTAGCCCAGCCACAAAAGCTTTAAAATCATTAAAGTGATTTAAAGTCACTCAGTTAAGTGTTTTCTCAGTTAAGACTACCAAGAAGGTCACGTTTACACCACTTGCTTGAGGGATTCTTGGTGAGAACCAAATCACTGAGAACCATCTCTGCCCAGTTTCAACCCAAAACCTGGGGCACATTTGCTTTGACATTTCTTCTGTGCTAGGGTGAACTACTGGCACTGGCTCTGTAAAGTGGTGCTGTCCTCCCTTCTGTGCCTCACATGAACCTCCTTGCATGGGTGCAAGCATCGTGGAAGCAATTTGACCCAGGACTCTGAAGTGTTACGTACTTTGAAACATAGGCCAGAGGGACAACTGGTGTGACTGGTGTGTAAAGGTCTTCTAAGTTAAATATCAGAAAATTAAATATTAGATCGAGAAAAAGTAGCATAAATGCAAGAAACCTTGCATTATGACCAAGGTTGGCTGACTTCGAACTGTATGTACACTTAAGAAGGCAATTACCTTGTGCAACTTGGATGTGACTCAGATTAATACTTTTTTTTGATACTTTCCCTGAAACATTAACACCCTTGGAAAATTTCTGACTTTGCTACTGCTGTGTTTTCTTAAGTATTCTGTCCTCTGGGTTGCAGCATGCCTGTTCAGTATAGCAAAAGTTAAAAACAGTCTCTTTTCCTTGACCTTTGCTTAGCCTGTCCTCACTTCTGTTTTGGAGCCACCTTTTGCAACAGAAGTACAACATCAAGTTGCTTTACTCAAAAATGAATAAATATATTAGTATCCATTTTTTTTAGAAGCAGAAGTGAAACAATAGGAATTTGATTTCAATACTATACTTGCATGTGTTTATCATACCAGTAATGAAGGATATCAATTTTTTTCTGAATGTCCTACACAAATAACCCTAATCTGCTATATAGCTTGAACAACAAGACACTGTTCACATTCAGTTTAGTTAGAAATACAAAGCTTGGTCATTGGATTTATCGTTGCTGCACTCATGCAAAAATAGCATTTCCATTTTCTGTATTTGTCGTAATAGCTCTAAAGCACAATCAACAAACATTTTATTGTAAATACATGCATACTTTTTCAGGAGTTGCTGATGTGTTTGTTTTGATCCCACTCTGAGGAGGCTACATTTTGTTCATGTTATTTTAAACACTCTTTTGTACAAAGCCTGCAAAAAGTTGCCAGTACCTTGTTCTTACATAAGAAACATTTTACTTTTCTTGCTCATGACATTCTTTTTTTTTTTTTTTTTTCAAATTGTGTGTCAACTAAACTTTTATTTTAAGAGATTATGCCTTATATTAGTTATCATACGATTATGGGTAAGGCTGAAACTGTAAATCAAATCTTCAAAGAGTACTGATTAAAAATGTAACTCAGTGCACAATTCAATTATAAGGAATACAATCTTTCATCAAAATCTAAACATGAAACTTCCAAAAAGAATCTTTGTGTATCCTGAAGGCTACACTGAATTGGTCACTAGAAATAAAAATGAATGTCTTCAAACTAATCACCTTGGTTACTACAATAGATTAGTTCAGGATTCTCTTTTTACTCTTGCAACCGAGATAAGAATAGGAGAGAAAAAAGCTCCTGAAAAAAAAGTTCATTTTTAATTTTGTAAGAAAAAAATCTTAGCTACATAATGCATTGCTAAATATTATTATAAAAGTTCGGTGACTATTGCTGTGTGCAGGGCAAGGTTTTGAAAGAGCAAGTCACCTCCCTCCGCCTTGCCGCGGATCAGAGCTCAGCAGTAGGGAAGGACAAATAGGGTTTCCATTGTGCTCTGCTGCACTCAGAGCTGCTGATATTCATATGGAAAGGTCTCCTGTGGAAAGGGTTCACGTGGAAAGACTTCAGAGCCTTAAAAGGGTACAGGGAAAGGAAACAGACTCCTTTGAAACTGGATGTGGAGAGGAAAAACATTTTGGATAAAACCGTTACAGCAGATTCCTTTAAAACCAAACACAGAAGCTTAACCCAGATTGGTGACTCTATTGATCCTAACACAGAGTACTTGAAACCTAAAAAAAAAGGCTAAGGGAGAGAAGGGTATGAAAGCAAATGTGAAAGTTTTGTGGAAGCATCCCAAAAGATTGCTCCTTTACTAAAGAATGCTGCATTTTCTCACAGCACTTGCTTAAAATCCAGTGTGCTTTAACTCAAAGAGCTATAGATTTATTCAGCACCTTTAAAATCAAAGGAGCACTGTTTGTTTTAGAAAAATTGCAAACAGAAATTAGTTTAGTTGTCCTTTGAGTGAAAACAATGCAAACATGAAATGTATTCAGCAGTGAAAATGATTCAAACACAAAATGTAACTCTACTCGCTCTAAAATAAAGCTATCTAGTATATAACAGAATTCTATGATATACTGAAGCCTTAGGTCCATCATATTTATGATGGACAAAGTCCTAGATATTTGATACACAGCATATGGCCAAGTGCAAATTCTACAAAGCAAAGAAAATGATGTTAAAAAAAATGAAGTCTTAATTTAAATATTACTATATGTAATTCATTTACATTTTTTAGCAGATGTAAAAATAAGGTATTGCACATGCTCAAAAAAAAGAAAGAAAAATAGGAGGTTGTTCTGGAATTATTAAGGAATTATTTTATGTGGAACAAGAGAGCAACAGCTGCAAAAGCTACAGCCTTTTGCATCTAAAAGGAGAGGTTTCTTAATTGTTCATGTCATAGATTGTAGGAAATAATTCTACCACTGCTTATAAGAACAAAATCCTTCAAAAATTTCGATATAATTCAGAAGATAGTGGCACTTTAGGAAAAAATAATTTATTGTCATTTATGAATTTAATTTGATCAAAATATTCAACATTAGATGAGTTTCAATTTGAGAAATTACCATTTTTAGCTAATAATATGATGCTAACTTTGGAAGGTAGATCTTTTTTTTAATTTTTTTTTTTGCAATTAATTAGCATAAAATTCCATAACTTCCATGCAATACAGCTACGTATGCGACATATTAACTCTCATCTAAACTTTTAATTGGTTTAATGACAGCTTTCATTTGCTTTTCTTTATCTATCAAGAGAGTTTCAGGACTACAGAAGATACTTTGTTTCATCAATACAATATCTAAAAATGAAGCCCGTCCTCTATGTAGGTTTTCTTTCCATCCAGAAGTTTAAAGATATCTGTTTTTTTGCAGGTTATTTTTGTACATTGCATCAGGACAGCTGAGTCGAATTTCTTAGATTCCTAAAGGACGAGGAAGATTGGGATAGACTTGTAAGGCTTCAGTATTGTGGAATTATACACACATTGTGCTTTATACAGTCCTAGTTTGTTTTCTTTTCTCTTATATTGAGGGAATTCGTGTGATATTATATCAGAAGGAACACAATGTGATCTTGTATTGGTTGGAAATGCTTACATGGTGCATTAAATGAAAAATAATAGTTGACAAACTCTCCAGTCATTAATGTTGCATGCAGCAAAGCAGAAAAACTGGAAGTGAGTTTCAGTTAATAGGTAAATTAGTTCTCAAACACCTGACTTCATATCTTTATTAAAAATGACTTGAATGACTTCTTGCACATTGATTCATTTCATTATATCCATTTCTCCTTACATGCATGAAATAGAAGAATAAATTTTTCCTCATGCAGGCAGAATTGCATTTATTACTGAAATCAGTCAAACTGCTTGTTTAAAACTTAAAATTAACTTAAATTTCATATTAGTTACTCTACTGCTGGGAATTTTATGAATTAATTACAAAATACTGACATTAAATGCTGACATTAAAGTGTATTAAAATGTGTTAAGCTGATTTCTGATTTACATACAGTTCATCATTTCATTTTGTGCAAGTTGATACACACATATAAGAGAAAAATACATGATATCTAAAGGTTTTTAAGTTTCCCTTAAATCACCTCTAAAACAATTTTTTTTTCATTTCACTCAAGAATGGCAGTCACCCTCACTGACGAAGGAAAAATCAAGATATGGAGACTTGCCTTTCTTTATTTCTACCCTTAATTTAATCTCTGAAAACACAATATATCCAAACTTACAATTGTTTTTCATATCTCAGCTTTGCATCCATGTTGCAAACAAGACTTTGGTTTTAAAAACTGAGTTTTTTACTCAAAACAGTATGGGCATCATGTACGCTTCCAAGTGAAAGCATTCTGAATTAATAAAATTATCAACTTTGAGAGCATCTTTTCTCAGTATAAGACCACTTAAAATTCCTCATATATATACATATATATTTGTATATATATATAATATATATGTTTACATGCTCTTAAGATGAGTAACTAAGCCTAAAATCATGTTTAAACCTTTCCCTGCTCATCTCGTTAAGCAAAACCCAAGACTTCCAACCTTCTTTGCTGTGTGCTCTGTGTTTTCTCGTTCCTTTCACTTGAGTGAAATCACAGTAGCCCAGATAAAGACTATTTGCCTGTTTATTACTAGAGTTACTAGTTTTATGCTTTCTAGCTGACACACATGAAGTGAAACCTTAGGAGGGTAACACAGGATACTCCCTGGGATCCAGTCTGGATTCAGCCAGACGGGAAGAGATGGACAGAGGCTCTATCCCACTGTTGCCTATCTTGGCTTTAGTAGTGTTGCCTCCCTTCTGCAAAATAATTCACATCCACATCCCGTGGTGGCACCTGCTAGTTCACAGTCTCAAACAGTTTCAGATTAAAAATCCCCTAAACATCAAAGCTTTTGTGGCACAGGACATGCTTTTTCAATTTTCAACTTACTCAGGATTACGGTTGGCTATTTCTCTTTTTTTTATATATATTTTATTTTGGATATTTCTGGCTATTTCTCATTTTATTTTTAATTTAATTAATTATTTAATTGATGCATTTTACTGTCTCCTCATGGCATGACAAGAAATTACAGGATGAATGAAAGAACTTGAAATCAAGTGACAGTAGTAGGACTAACAGAGAAGAACAACTTTGAGGCAGGATCTGCCTGCTACACATTTTGGATGTTAAACCAAATTGAATCTAAAAGTGTGTCTCTCCTCTATCAGTTACATATAGATGAAACTAAAAGGGACTACTATACAGGCTCATATGATATCATATACCTTTGAGGGCTATCACAAAAAAACTTTGGACCATATTAGTTTTATAAGACAGGAAAGCTGTTTCTTCTAGCCTCTAAAACAAAAAGTTATATATGCTTCCTACATGTCTATATCTGTGTGACAAAATACTTCTAAATAGATTATATGAAAAAATCATATGTGCTTAAAATATACTATATATCTTGATTTTCTTTGAGGTTATATTGTTTTCAGAGAAAAATAAGGAAATCTTAATTTTTAGTCTTTAGAATTATTATTTGTTAATACTACTGTGAAGTCTTCATTACAATTTTGCAATTTTTTATATATATAATGTATTTATTTTATTTACATATACACATAAATGTATGATAAAGCTGGCCTAAATCTAGGAAATTCTGAGAATAAATTGATGCTTTTCTATTCAAAATTATATTGACTACTGAAAAATATAATGTATACTGAACAATCATCTCCATGGCAATATATGGTCAATTGTAATGAAGATGAAGATAACTGTCATATTTTCATGGATTATAATAAAAATAATGACCTTCAAATCAGGATTTCCCTGGCTAGTAAAAACAATGTGAGGTAAAGAGCTGGCTGGCAAAAAAAAAACTAGTAGGCACAGTGAATGAGTTCTGCTTAATAAATCTTCACTGTGGGAACCACTACATATTATTGCCTAAAAAAAAAGAAATGGGAAGAAAAAAACAAGGAACTTACAAAGCGGGGAAACATCTGCATTGACGTTTCCTCCTTTAGGATTCATCTTCTGGGCCTGACTTGCAGGAATAGGTTTATATGATTGACCTGTAGCTCTGTACATCGCTTGAACCCACAATATCCGATCCTGCTCATCGTCACTGGCAAATATTACTGTATCGCCTTCTTTAACAGCATTGAAAAACACTCGACCACCCTGAAGACCTGGTTTAGGAGATAGGAAGGTAATGTTAATGAGAATAAGATACTTCTGATTAACTATTAATGTTAGTAGATTAATAAACTAGTTTCCTTCTGATTGTGGGGAAAGGTAAAAAAGATCCATCAATTCTATAGGTATTTATGATCTGGCAGCATGAGAAAATCAAGAGATTAAGTGGTAATATATGGAAGTGAAAAACAAGAATAAATACAGAATTATTTAATTTGGCTTCTGGGGAAAAAAAAGCAAACTTTTTCTGGTATAGTTATCAGGTGACCTGATAATTTGACTGGTGCATCCCACTCGTGTTAAGATCAACCATGAAAAATGAATTCTTTATGGAGCTCATATGCTCCATGCTCCATATGTAATTTTATATTCTTCTATTACATGCTCTTTCAAGACTCACTTTCTCTGCTCAAAGTCACCATCTACTTATCTCTTCTTAAACAAAAGTAAGTCTAGGCCTCTGTTATATCTGCTGCTGCTTTACTGGTACTTTTTTGTTGTTGTATTATTTCTTTTTTTGAGGAGCATAAACAAAACAATACACAATATTCAACCTGGATGCAGAAGAGTTTTTTATATAGCATAAAAGTGTTGGGCTTTCCAACACCTTCTAAACATTGCTTGCCTTTTCAGTTATTTTAAACATCTAGCCAATGTTTTCAAAGAACAATCTTCAATAACTTATAGGTCTCTTACACATTAACAGAGTAGTTAATTCATAATCCCCCACTGTGTAGCTACGAAGTGTTTTTCTTCACTTCCACAACTTGATGTGTCTCTGTCATTTTATTGCTAAATTGTATAGTTTTTCTGATACCTTTTGTTCTACTTTTGATTGATTACTCTGAGTAACTTGTCTTTAGAAAGCATTGTTTTTATTCACCTTCTTTTCTACATAACTTAGGAATACAGTTTACAGTACATTGCCAGATGACTTCACCATCAAAACTAGAGAAAAAAAGTGAAGCACTGATCAGAACTTTCTGTTTTTTCCTTTGTATCATATTCACAACTCTATAGCATTTCAGACAACCTTAGTGTGAGTTTATTGTTACTTCTTGCAACAAGATTCTTATAAAAGCATGATTTTTCACAGCAGAAAATCTTACTGGAGTAATTGCAAAACCTTTAGATGTGGGTATAAAAAACAGCCTTGGAGTTGTTAGCTGGTAGATGAAAATAAATCAAGTGAATGACCTGTTTTACACAAACTTGTCATATTTTAAAATCAAGTACCTGTGTGAGGAGCTGTATAATCCACAGTATATCCTTCGAGTTGCATCAGTTCCTGAGGCTCAGATTTCTTTTCTCTGTAACTGCACATAGCGAATGTGTACTGGCTAACCTGAGTAAGAAAGGAGGGAGGTCTTAATTGATGAATTCCATCCCACAGCTTTACTTGACAGTAGTCAACAGGCTAATGTTGCATAGTGCCACTGTGTACATCAGCTCTCAGTTGAGCCAAAGAAATAACAAATATTTTTGAGAAATATTGTATATCATGCAAAGCTGTCAGTATTCACTCCTGCCAAAAGGAAGAAGAAAAGCCAAAACCATATATGCTTGCAATTTTCTGAAATGTGATGTTTTTTGAGGTGTTATTTAAAGAAAAGTTGAAAGGAAGCAAACTAGATACTGTTAGGAACAATTCTTGGTATTGGCCAAGCTGCTCAGTCTGCTGCATGAGAAAGTCCTGTGTTCCGTAAAGCTGGAGACAAAAAAGACTTTCGGTATAGAAATCCTCTTTGCAGAGGGACTTACAGAACAATCCACATGTAGCTGAAAGCAAGAACACATAATCTGCACAGAGAGAGTTATTTTATTTTAAAAATTCTTATCTTTCCCATCTGCATGCAAACACATCCCCATGTTGCTTAGATTGGTAGTGTATTTGGCAGGTAAAGCAGCTTTACATAAGTTATTTCTGAATGACTAAGTTAACCCTCCACACTTAAAAAAAAGAAAAAAAAAGAAAGAATATAATTCATCATGTGATTTTAGACTCCACAGACAGAATAGAAGGTGATAAGAAGAGCTAAAGAAAAAACAATTGGAAATATAAGGATTTAAGGAAAGGTAGCAGCTGAGGGAGGAAAAGCAATCACTGAAGGAAACTGAGGTGTTACCAGCTTTACACCAAGCTGGACAGATAGAAAAGGTGACCAGAATAAGTTGCTTCTCAACACCTAAGCCTTAAAGGAACTGAATTTTCACATACACCTGCAGCTCCCATCTCCAGGATCCCTGGACTGTGGGATGTCTGTCCAAATCATTGGTAAGGTCTTGCTAACTGTAGAAAGGCAATATCACTCGCTTTGTCTTCCAAATTACACAAGGATGCAGTGATGCTTACCTGATAGAGGATGGACTATCTCTCTCAGCTGTTGATTATTTTGTTCACCATTACCTAAAGGTATTGCTTTGGCTACAGTTTCAATAATTATATCCTTTTTGAAATCAAATTTCAGCAGCTGACAATCTATATTTTAGTGAATGCTGTACCTTCACACTGCTGCACCTCAAAACATGGTACCTTCAACTGCCACTAATAAAAGATGTTTGACTTTCTGGTATCTCTGGAAAAAAAGACTGGTATGCATAATATTTTCCAACAAAAATGGAAGGTATGTGATTATCTGCATAATGCACTGAAAATAATGTATTTTTTTCAGTATGTTTTTGTTACATTCATTCTGAGAATCCTTTGAAAAATTGGATTATACTATGCTATGTGTATGAGCACATACACATGATACATATATATAGTGGCTGAATATCCTTTTCCACAGAGCATACAAGCAAAAGGATTAACAAGTATAACATGTATAACAGCTCTCTGTAAAATTCAACTAATTATTCAACTAATCACTGCAAAACTCTACAGTCAAAAGAATCCTTAGTTATAGAGATTTCTATTTATAAAGAATTCTACATGATTATAATGTGGAACATGCATATATTCCACATTAAATTCCACATTAATAAAAGTGATTTTTACAGAATATACAATGCAAGTTCTGATTTTATGTATACATTTTCTATGTACAATATTAATTTGTTTTAATATAAGTAAATGAATAAATTCACTTGTAAAATAAATATGTCTTTGAACAATATTGTAAGGTTAAAAGTTTGACAACTGAAAATTCAAGTTTAGTAAATCCACTTTAATGGGTCTTTTTCATAAACATCTTTTTTCAGGCTAGAAACAACAATTACAAACAGCAAGCCTTTCCCCAGAATAACATATACTGCAAAAGTTTACCTAGCATTGTGCACTGAGTCCATAATTTTGCTTTCATGTATGTATCCTAGAAAAGTATTGTATTTTGGTTTAAAAGTTTTAAATGATGAAGAATCTATCACATTACAAATTAAGTTGTTTTATCCATCATGTAAAATTAAAAAAAATCATAGATCCAGTCTTAATTTATCTAGCTGTAGTCAGCCATTAGATTTGATCATTATTCATTTTTCTGCTAAAGAGTCATTTATTATTCAAAGCACCTTTCCATTTAAATATTCATTCAACATGATTAAGTCATCTCCTTAACTTTTTTCCATGTGTTGGCTGACATAAACTGAGTTTCTCAAGTTTTCAAGCAAATTTTCCAAATTGTAATTCTGGCTTTCACTCCCACTGTCTTTGACCACTTGTTGCTCATTTCCCCTCTTCAGCCAGTGCTAATGCATTTGCATATTTAGGATCATATTCACAGAATCACGGAATATTTAAGGTTGGAAGGGATCTCTAGAGATCATCTAGTCCAACCTTCCCGCTCAAGCAGGCACACCTAGAGCATGTGGCACAGGGTGGCATCCAGGCGGGTTTTGAAGACCTCCAGAGAAGGAGAATCCACAATCCCCCTGGGTAGCCTGTTCCACTGATCTGTCACCCTAACAGTAAAGAAGTTCCTCCTCACCTGGAGACGGAACTTCCTGTGCTCCAGCTTGTGGCCATTACCCCTTGTCCTATCGCTGGCCACCAGTGAAAACAGCTTGTCCCCTTCCTCCCTGCATTCACCCTTCCTGAATTTATACATATTAATCATATCCCCTCTCAGCCTTCTCTTCTCCAGAGAAAACAGGCCCAGCTCACTCAGCCTCTCTTTGTACGAGAGATGTTCCATTCCCTTAATCATCCGGGTTGCTCTTCTCTGGACCCTCTCGAGAAGCTCCACGTCCCTCTTATACTGGGGAGCCCAGAACTGCACAGAGTACTCCAGGTGCGGCCTCACCAGAGCTGAGTAGAGGGGCAGAATCACCTCCCTTGACCTGCTGGCAACACTCCTCCTGATGCAGGCCAGGATCCCATTGGCCTTCTTGGCCACGAGGGTACACTGCTGACTCATGGTTAACTTGGTAAAGTAGTTAACATGGTTAACTTGGTGTATTGTGGTGAAGTTCTTTTATATATATATATGTATTTATGTTTTTACTTAGCTTTAGCTAAAGCAAACAAGACTCAATTTTAGAATGTTCACTTTCTCAAAATGAAGTCTAAACTCCTTGTTAGCCACTAGAAAGACAGCAAGAACCAGCTTGTATCTGAAATGTTCAGACAGATGATTTCTTAAATTATAGGATGATTTCTTAAATTTCTTAAATTAATTTCTTAAATGAAATTAAAGTGACAAAAGTGAATCTGTATTTATATTAATGATGGTAAATAAGTTAAGCATTGCATGGCCAGTTGTGGCTTCTTTCTGAACACATCATGTCTTTTTCCATTTTGAAATGGATAGACTTCTAGAGAAGTGACTAGACTGCAAAAGGAAAAGCAGTAAATACAACAAAATCATTAATTTTTCCAGCATCTGTAACTTTCTGATAATACTGAACAACCAATACGAAAGACCAGTGATCTCTAATCTGTGTAGTAATCACAACGTACATATTATTCACATTGCTCTTCCGAAAAATCATCACTATTCATTTAATTTCACATCTAAGTTACATTTCAAAAATGTGTAAATCATATTGATAATCTCTATCTTATTACTGAGTTTCATGTCCTTAGTATAACTTGACATAAGCTAAAAGCTATGCTATAGAGGAAGAATCTTCAATAAGTCAATAATGAACCAATACAACAAGTTGATATTGCTTACTGCATGCTTATTTCACATGTGTCAACTTAAGCATAGTGCCAGTATTAAGTAACATGGAACACATAAATGAGCCAGAGCTGTCAATATTGATTTAAGGCAGTATCTTTTATACAGCTTTATTGATTTTGTGAACTGCTCTGAAGTGATGTCTATACTCCATCATAGTTGGAAAATTCCTGTAATATTCTTCCTTGATATTTCCATTTCAGAATAGAAAGCAAAGTAAAGCAAAGTAAAATTAACTCAGCTGGAATAGACTGTTCTCTCTGTTGTTTCTAACACTACATGGACAAAATATATGGGTTGATTTATTCATTTGTAAAAGTGATATTTAGGTTTATTAAATATGCAAGTTTAAATAAATTATCCAGGAAGTGTCTGTGCTGTAAGAAGCTTGGAATTGTGCCCCAGGACCTGAAGATACTGATTTATAAATTACTTCAGAAACCATAAGCAACAAAATCAGTAGACTTTTCAATGAAATTTCAGTCTTCATCTGACAGATAACTAACCTGAACAAGAACAAAGTAGCGTTTTTTCCACCGCTTCCAAACCTTCTGTCCTAGAGCATACAAATATCTGCAAAGGCAAAAATAAGCTAATGTAGTTATTCCATTCCATAAGTATGATATTAGGACCAGCAATGATTTTTTCTCCTGTTTACACAGAACACAAAAGTACATAGAAAGATCTTTTCATTTAAAACTAAGTTTTATAATAAGAATCAGAATCAGAATCAGAATAAGAATAAGAATAAGAATAAGAATAAGAATAAGAATAAGAAACCCCCAGAAGCTAAGTTTTATACTTTTTAAGGCTTACCTGCTCATCAGTTTTATTTTGCCAATTACCTTTAAAATCAAACAATATTCTAAAGTAGAACAATTTTGACTACAGAGAAATACTGTATATTAGAAAAATTCAATTCCTGACTTTATTTTATTTTATTTTATTTTATTTTATTTTATTTTATTTTATTTTATTTTATTTTACATATATAGCTTTGGTTTCCATAGATCTCTTTGCTTGTGTTTCCTGTAAGAAGCCAGTCACAGTATCAGTTTGTGAAAACGCTCAAATAAAAAAATGCCAGCAAACAAGCAACAATATATTTTTTTTTCAGTGTAAACAACAGTCTGATTTACTAAATACCAGTTGTCCACTACAGAGACTCTTAAATTAAAAACATCTCCTTTTTCCCTAGGTAACTTCCAGGATTTGAATCAGGTGCTTTATCATTTGGTGAAGAAGCACCTTCGCTATATATGAAATAATAGCCTTTTTTTGGCATTTTGTCAAAGTATTTTTGCCACTGAGGTTATGCTGCTTCACAAAAAGAACAAGACTAAGAGAAAGCGTCTCGTGCCTGACAGGAAGAACCTAAAAACGCTAAGGAGCTGCTGCTACCTATGAAATGTCCTATCTGACTGGTAGGCCTCTACCAAGGGCCACTAGAACTGGTGCTGGACCAAATAAATCCTTGACTCATGGACTGCCCAGAGTGACAGAATACTCAGCTCTCCAACACTACAAGTATAAAGATATTCTTATCATGTACCCACTCTTCTTGTCTAAAATAACTGTAAAGACTTAGAGAGGATTCCTCTTAGTCTTTACTTAGTCTTTTTTTTATTGTCAGTCGTGGCGACTTTGTGTTCTAACAGAAACACAGCAGAAAATGATTAGCTAGACTAGAGTGGAAAAATACTTTTAAAAATCAAAACCTTAATAGGTCTTGATACTCCAGCAGGTCAAGGGAGGTGATCGTCCACCTGTACACAACCCTGGTGAGGCCACATCTGGAATACTGTGTCCAGTTCTGGGCTCCCCAGTACAAGAGGGATGTGGAGCTGCTGGAGAGAGTCCAGTGCAGGGCTACGAGGATGATCAGGGGCCTGGAACATCTGCCCTATGAGCAAAGGCTGAGAGAGCTGGGCCTGTTCAGCCTGGAGAAGAGAAGGCTGAGAGGGGATCTGATCAGGGTGTATAAATACCTCAATGGAGGCAGTGAGGAGGAGGGGGCCGGCCTCTTTTCAGTAGTGGACAGCGATAGGGCTAGAGGAAATAGCCCCCAGGAAACTGAAGTACCAAAAGTTCCACAGGAACTTAAGGAAACATTTCTTGACAGTGAGGGTGACAGAGCCCTGGACCAGGCTGCCCAGAGAGGTTGTGGAGTCTCCTTCTTTGGAGATCTTTAAAACCTGCTTGGATGCAGCCCTGTGCCACATGCTTTAGGTGACCCTGTGTGAGCAGGGGGGTTGGACTCGATGACCTCTGAGGTCTCTTCCAACCTTAAGCATTCTATGATTCTATGAATAGCACATTTTTGGCTTTCAGGGAAAAAAAAATAAAAAAAGATATTTTTCATGTCAGATATGGCACATATGACAGATATAGGCAAACTGAAACACTGAATCCAAAATTAAATATAAGAAAGCACTAAAGAAAATCAAATACCAGTGTTCATTTCTGCCTCCTATAAATCACACTTAAGTAAGGTGTTAAATAGCAGGTTATTTGGGGAAATAAAGGAGCATAAAATTGACTATTTAGCTTTACAAAACTGTTGGTCTTAGATAAGAACAGGTTACAAAGACATTAGCATTCATGACACAAAGCTGGGATTTAATGTAGAAGTGCAAAGCCTTATGGCACTTAGTTTTACAAATCAGTATAAACACACAGCGATAATCTTGCATCATTAATCCCTCTTCCAGTGCATTTCTCATGGTGACAGCTTTTTCCTACTGTAGAAAATTTAACTCATTTCATAGGGATTTAGCCTATGCTTATTTCAAGAGCACAAGATTTTGCAAAAGTAGAAGATTAATACTTACTCAAGAGCCTAACATTTACAGTCTGAACTAGCTAGATTCCTAGAGTCCTAAGCCCTATTTAAGCTTCTATTATCCATTCATTTTTCATTTAAATCAATGAGAAGTGAAGAACCTAGAAACCTTGTTAAATTTGGACAATTATATTTAATTGTCCAAATTGTCCAAAAAATGAAAAAACTACAGTTCATGTCCAGGACAGAAAAAGTTTGTAAGAGCCAGTTCTGTGACATAAATGTTACTTGGGCTTCACAAATTTTCACAAGAAAACCAAGAATTCAACAGACGGAGAAACGAACTAAGGCTAAGTTGAAGAATATTTTGGTTTCAGGATTAGTAGCTGTATGGTTTTGAATATGTCTCAGTTAAATGTTTGTAACACAGATCAGAGCAGTCCCTCTCACAGGCACGAATTTACATAATTGCCAGTTTCTTTACCCATATGCATGGTTGCACTCATTTACAAGTTTTGCTAATTCTCTCTAGCCAAAATATATCAAGAAGAAACTCCAATTCTTTTAAATACCTTTGTCAGAAAAAAAAAAAAAAAAAAAAAAAAAAAA